AATCAGTTAGATGCACCCAGATGAGCGAGAGTCCAACAGTTTTGCAGGAACCCAGTTCACATTGCCTATGACCAGCATTGCTGCTGGAGTTGCGCTCTTCGGTCTCTTTCGCCCTCGCAGAGCCAAAAAGGCGTTGGACCTGCAAAAGGCTGGTGTTGCAGCGTTTGGCCTTGTCGACAGGTCAGAATCTCACGCAAAGCCGAACCGATTGAAATGGGCCGAACACTGATTCCCGAAGCTTAATGCTCTAGCTCTAGCTCTAGCTTCAATCGGTGTGCCCCTTTCCAAGGCAAAATTGATCCACAAACAGGAGAGAGGAACTATGTGAATCCTTTCGAAGAACGCTTGCAGCCCCAGGGAGCAAAGATCACAATTTGGTGACTTATGCGCATCTTTTTTTTTGGCACTTAGGGATCGACATCGACAAGGATGTTCCTGCCGATGCGCAGCGAGAACCCAGTGGGAAGAAGTGGGAGCCTTAACAGAAGGGATGAGTCGTCAATGGTTTCCGTAAGCACATCCGTCATTTTGGTCGTCATTTTGGTTGTTCGTTTTTTAAGTGTAAATCTTTCCCGAAAGTGAGAAAAGGAGCATGAGGCACTTGGAATGTGCTTGCTGGGGCATCACTGACTTGGTTGTTCAGGTTTTTTCCTTACACTGGGCCGGTCTACAAGAAAGTGCCAGTTGCGGAAGGATACTTTTGCAATGTTGTTCCTCCTTTGATTGCAAGTTTCTGCACAAAGATGTCAGGAAAGAAAACGGGAATCATGAAATGGATGCCTTGGTACTTGTCAGGACTCGAGTTTCCGCTGGATCCAAACCTTTACTACCCACCCTTGGAACCACCTCCGCCTGGAGCAAAATGGGGAGATGGCCGAGCACCAGATGGCAATTGGTACATGGACATCGAGGATGAGAAAGTGCAGTAAGCATCTCAATCATGTTGCGCTCAATGCGACCGACATTCAAAACCGTTCTGAGGTATTGGCAAGGAGTTGGCAAGAGAAAGACAGCTTGTCAGTGACCAAGCTCTCCCAATGCTAGCTGCTAGTCGCAGACTCGTAGCATTTCGTAGGCTGTTTCCGCTTCTTTATCCTATTGTTTCATGCTCCTTAGGCGCCATCGTGAGAATTGTGAAAGGCAATGGCCAGTTCATTGTAAATGGCAGAGATGTGCGCCTAGTAGATTTGCCGAGCAGTGGGAGGATTGGCGGAAGTACAAAGCAGCATGCGGTTTGTGGTTTTTGTTTTTGAGGCAATTCAGTATTTCAGCCACTATCCAATCTGGTGGCTGAAGGCAAGCTCTTGTCTCCGTTGGGCAAGCGTCCAGAGGTTGATCAGAAAATAAGTCGTCCAGTCTGAGAGTCTTCACTAGGCGTGTGAGCCGCTGGCAGCCCTGTCTCAAAAGAACAAGTTCAGCACCCAGCTGATTGAGCCACCTGGTGGAGCTGCCACAAGAACCTTGTTCTGTCCTTGGATATGACATGTCGCTTCCCCAGGTTTGACATTATTGCGAAAAGCTTTGGAGGGGGTATCAGTGGTCAAGCTGGTGAGGATCTCAGAGCTGGAACTACTTTTGATGCAAGGCAGTGTGCACCAATAAAGACCATACGAGGTGGTTCAGCTGCAACCTGCTTTGAATGTGAGTAATTCAGGTGCCGTCCGACTAGCACTTGCAAGAGCAATGCAGGAATACAATTTCAACTGGAGGCTGGCAGTTGGCTTCGACTCCGTTCGTCCCAGTTTTGCTTTTTCAACTCAGGCCCCTGATGAAGAAAGCCAAATTCCTCACTCGAGACTGGCGTATGGTTGAGCCAAAGAAGACGGGTCAGCCAAAGGCAAGAAGACGTTCACACTGTTTAGTGTTGCCACATCTGTTTGACTCGCATGCTGAAACCTGCTTTGGTTGTTGTTGTTGTTGCTGCTGCTGCTGCTGCAATTTCTGCTGCTTTGCATGAGCCAGACTGCTAGACGCTTTACCGACAGCTCAACAAGTTAGAAGCACACACACACAAACACATTCACTCATGCAGAAGCTTTCCAGGCCCGCAAGAAGACGCCATACCACAAGCGCTGAGAAGGGCCAGTGTTGTGTCCTGTGCAATGGGTATGTTGTTTGCTTCTTTTGGATTGATGTTAGTGAGGTTTGTGTTCTGTGTTTTCTCTTCATCTCAACAGTTTCACTAGGTTTGAACATGGCCCGTTGACATCCATGAGCGGAAAAAGCCGTCCTCAAGTTGAGAGCTGTCATCCAACCAGCTTCAGACAGGGAGCACACATGTTTTCCCAGGTTCAAAGCTTTGAAGCCACTCTTCTCAAATATGTTTGAGCCACAATAACCAGTTGAAAGAGACATTCACACCATCAGTGATCATCAGAGTTGATGGAAGACTATGTTGCAAGTTATCCAAAGAAACGCCAATCTTAGCACAACTTGTGCATTAGTTTTTGCTTTGGGGGTGAAGCTCATGTCAAATCTGTGAGCGAGTAATAGGACCTTTTGCGAGCACAAGTGGCTGGGCTATTGTACACAACCCTGCACATTTTGCATTTGCAGAGCGCGGCCTACCAGACATGTGGCTCTACAGAAAGAGGCTGCCTGAGACACAAGGCCCATTGTCAGTGCGGTACAGTGTTCAGTGGTGCTGGACAGGTCTTGGGCCTTATGAAGCTACCTGCAGCTTTCTTACAGTACATGCCTCAAGGTTTTGGCTTTCAAGCTTAAGTACCAACAAGGGTTTGGATAGTTTGGATTCTTTCAGGTTAAGTGCCAAGATCCCTGTGAATGTCATTGGCAAAGGCGCAGAAATGGCTTCGGCCTGCATTCGCGCTGAAAGCAATACAGTTGCGCCAAGGCAAAGGAGGTGCGCTGCGCTGCGGAGGCCCAGAGAGTTTTGCTCAAATGCGTACGAGGTGAGATCTCTTGGAACAAAAGGTGCTTTCTTTTTGACCCCAAACTTGAGTCGAACTTCTGTGGGATCGAAAGAAAGCTGCTTCTTCTTCAATTTGGCTCATTGAAGACAGAAGGAAGACTTTGTACCGCTTTTGGGAGAGTTTTCCGAGTCCAAAGGACTTAAAGCTTCAAGGCTCCAAGGACCGCATAATTGAAAAGGATGATGAATTTCCCAACAGCACTTACGGGCTGTGCGGCATTTCACATCGGTGACTCTCGCATGAAGGTTCAAGTTCGGAAAGCCTGTTTTGGGAAAGCCGAAGGTACAACATATATCAAAATATGTACACAGGTGGCGCTTGATTCAGGAACTGCATCTTGTGGGCTGAAACGAATGTGGCGTAGGATAAGCCACACTTACCTCTCTCGAAGAAACGGGAAGCGATCTTCAAACTTGAGCGGTCCTTGGTGGGCTCGTGGATTAGTGGTGTTGGCACAGAATAAGGCATCAATATCAAGGTCACAGAGTGCAGCTAGCGCTATAGTTGGCTCAACCCTTAAAGCTTAGATAGAATTATATATATATACTTCTACAGCTAGATCTCCCAAGCTTGTCCAGCACTGTGAATTCTACAGTCCTCAAAGCACTGAAGGTTACATTTCAAGTCTATTCTTGCACTGAGAAAGCAAGCGCGTCACTTCAAGCAAAGGCAAACAAAACCCTTTTCCGATGACTTGGCAGGTGCTATCAGATACTCTAAAGTGGTTCACAAGTTCTTGCTATGGAAGGTTTGTTGTTTCTGTACTGATTTGGTGCCACCTCCACTGATTCTAGATAAGGATCGGCCAAAATCGGTGTGGGTCGGCCTCCCCCGACCACCCTGAAGAGGTTCCTCCAGCTGTATATTTTGTCCAATATTCCGACATGGTCTTGCCGCATGCCGACGCTTCCTGCCTTTGGGAACGATGAACTGCCCGATGTTGTGTGTTAAAGGAGTCACACTTGCAAAAGAAGGACCATAGCACCCGTGCTTTTCTCGAAGCACCACCCGTGAAGATTATAAGCACAACAAGCCTGATGAGTGAGTGATCGGTGAGAGCTGGTTTTGACACAGCTTCAGTCACTCGTGATAATTGATCTGAAGAATTGAAAGGAACCCACTTCAACTGCACGTGTGCGCACTGCAGGTGTCTCGCCCACTGCACTCACCTCAGAGAGAATGTCAGATGTTTATGTTATTTTTTTTCCAGATTGAGTTATACCTCCTGGCACTGAGTCAATTCGCTTTGAGCCTTTCCAATCGGCACCATGCTAGTTCCACGCAGCAGAGCTGCAAGGGGTGTTGCTTTGATGTCAGGCAAATTCCATTTTGGCAAAGGTTTTGGCCAGGGTCCTAACAATTGCAAAGCCGGCTTTTCACTGTGAGAGAGCTTGCGACCAGGCACTTGGACGAGCTCCTACCGCACAAGTTACTGATGCGCCTTTGCATCGAATCTGTTCAAGATCCTGGATGTTGGTATGCTGATCACCTTGCCGCCATTGAGGTTGCAATGACGGCATCATCAGTTATCATGGCGGTTTGTGCCCGAGACGATAGTGTGTTTGAAAGCAGGTAAGATGAGACACGAGTCCAAGTCGGTGATTTCGCACAAGTGGCCGACTCTGCGATTTAGCAAGACTACCAAGATGAGACCTAATTATATCAACTTTGTTGGATGGTCTTTTTTTAGCAGCATGCAAGCTTGTTTAATGCTTTTTATTACTAATGTTGAAGCTCAAAAGTTTAGCTTCAAGTCTGAAAGTGCTCACAAGGGACAATGTCAGCTGTTATGTGACCCTGACAGAGAATGTATTTGTGTTGAGGTCACTGGACTTTGTGCAGTTCCCAAGCTAGTGGACATTGGCATACTGGACAGGGAGGCAGAACACTTTGTCCTTGTTTCCAAAAGTGTTTGCCAATTGAATGGACACTTCCTTCATACAAGCCGTGTGCGTTTGAGAACTGAAAGCGCTCCTACACCTTCGGTGGCTCAAGATAGAACCGCCATGCCATGGCACCTCAGAGACGGCAGATGGCACTCTGAGCTGCTGGAAGCATCTAGTTGACATGGCAGAGGATGATGGTGAGAAGCCAGCCGACAGTCCGACGGCTGCGGCAACAGCACCAGCACTGGCCATGGCCATACCCGGCCTCCCAGCACAAACCGCGGTTGCACAAGTTCCAGGGGCGACCGGGGCTGTGCAAATGGACCCGGCAGCCTATGCTCAGTGGCTGCAGGCTGTGCAGGCCCAGCAGGCTCTAAGTCAGGCGCTGTATTTGCAGCAGATTGCCGCAGCGGCTGGCGGTGGTGCTGGTGGTGGAGTGCATCTTGGTCTTTGCTGAAGATATTGCAATTCTCATTCTCTTCTGACAATTTTGTAATGCTTTGCGACAAAACATGTCATCTAAACATGACTTTGTTAGATAAACATTTTTCTTTCAGGATTGCACTTCCAGCTGGGCTTCCAACTTTGCCAGGGCTTCCAGCGGGGCTTCCAGCGGGGCTGCCTGGAGTCGCCCTCCCAGCCGTAGCCTCAACAGCTCCGGCACCGGCTCCACGACCGGCACCGGTGATAGAAGGGCCTACCTACACTGGCCAAATCGTGGATTACAACGAGGAAAGATCTCGCATGGCATCTTTTTTTTGCAAAGTCGGTTTATGCATTGGATCTCTTGATTTATATAGCTGGGCATCTTTTTAGCTTTTCTAAGCCAAGCTGGAGCAGGAGAAAGGATTTGGCTTCATCGAGTGCAAAGAGACACAAGAAATTTATGGAGACTTTGCATGAGTTCAGTGCAAACAACCAAACTGCTTTGCTTTGGTGTTAACATGTGTTAACATCTCGCCTCATACTATATAATACGATCGAGGAAAAGACATATTCCTGCTGCGGAGTTCCTTAAATGGGCTGATTGTCAGCACGGGAGACAGGGCACCTCAGCTGCATGGTTATTTGTTGAATTGGTGGTGAGAGCGCCGCTTTGTTGATGTCATGAGAGGGCAGGTTCGTGGCATCTCAGGTGAATTTCAGAATTCAGACAGGATTCAAAGGTCCCAAGGCTGTGGAGATCGAAGTGGTGGATCCTTGGCCTTGGCGAGATGTTTCTTGAGAGACTTGCTAGATGCTTCGCAGTGCTTTCTTTTTGGATGGTTTGCTTCCTCGTTATGTGTTCTTCGCGACCGACTGTTCGCCAGGAAAGAATACAGGAAATGGCAGACCGATTGCCGACCTACTACGGCATCATCAAGAACTTCCACCACGACAGAGGTCTTGGCTTCATAGAATGTGATGAGACCAAGGATGTTTATGAGAAGGACATCTTGGTACTGAGGAGTCAATTGGGTGAACAGGTGGAGGGCGCAGTGGTGTCTTTCAATATTGTAGAAGATGCTCGTGGAGTGAAAGCAGCAAATGTGAAGATTTGCCCTGAGGGATTCCCACCTGGAAAAGAGCCCAAGCCCAGGCCTCCAAAAGGCAAAGGAAAAGGCAAGGGCAAGGAGTTTGGCAAGGACGGGAAAGGCTTTGGCAAAGATGCTAAAGGCTTTGGCAAGGGCAAAGGCAAGTTTGAGCAGCTGTGGAATGTAGCGACAAACATGCTGAATGAGTGGGGATGGTGGGGAAATGACTCCTGGGATGGTGGATGGGAGGACCCATGGTGGCCGGGAGGAAATGGAGACTGGCAGGGACAGGAAGGGAAGGGGCCGGGAGATTGGCAGGGAGGGAAGGGGCTGGGAGACTGGCAGGGAGGGAAGGGGCCGGGAGACTGGCAGGGAGGGAAGGGGCCGGGAGACTGGCAGGGAGGGAAGGGGCCGGGAGACTGGCAGGGAGGGAAGGGAGAGTGGCAGGAAGGAAAGGGAGAGTGGCCGGAAGGGAAGGGAGATAGGTTTCACCCTTATTAGCCAAGCTTGCCAAGAGTATAGGCATTTGCCTGCAAGCGAAAAAAGGCAGAGAGTGCGGCAGAGTATATGCGAGCATTTGCTGGACCTGTGCCAGCCCGGTGTTTTGCACTTCGAAGAGTGACAGCAGGTTGCCACCTTGAGCCTATCACTAGCTTGCCCCTTGATCACCATCATTTCTTATGTCTCGCCCTCACAACTTCACATGGAAGGTTGAATTCCACCGTCACACCGACCCAGAAACGTTTTCACGTTTTCAAGATCAGGTCGCTCCAACCCCAACAGTTCTGGATGCCGTTCGCCTTATGAAGGCCAGGCGAGTCAGTTCTGAGGACGTACACCTCTTATTTGCGCCAAAGATAAAAGATTCCAGTTGCCTTTATTGACTTCAGGCCAGCAACCTCAATGTCATTGTTTTCAAGCTTCAGGCGCTGCAGCAACTTCACGGACTTGCTTTGGTCACTGTCCTCGGGTCAATTTGCACGATTCATCTGGCCCAGGCCGCTTGCAATGTTTTAAGCATTGCCTACGGTCTGCAAATTGCCAATGCCGCTGTGTTGATGACAAACATGTTTGGCACACTCCTGAGAAATCAAACCCAAAGGAATGCCTCCCTCTAAGTATGTGAATTACATCGCAGATCAGGCCTTGCATGCCAAGTACTTTTCCTAGCCGGAGAACGCTACGCGCCCACCTGCCATGTGCTTCCGCTATGCACTTGAGAAGGGAGTGACTTTTGGCAATCTCCAGGTCACTGGAAAGCGAATGGCTGTCCTTTGCCTTGTACCTATCTGTTGTATTGAACTCGGGGATCTTTGTCTCGAGCAGATGTGCAGTAGCCTTAGCGGCAACAAGAGCAAATTGGCATCTTTTTTCTTTCTTGCTTCCTTGTTCCCTGGTTCCTTTCTTGCTGGCTTTTTTTCGTTTCCTTTCCGGCAGTTTTCTCAGGTCCCCATCAACCTTCTGGGACAATCCATAACAGTACCTAGCTCGGTCTTTGATGTCTCTGCTGCGATCGGTAGCGGATTGTCTTGGGCGTGCGGCGGCTTTGAATGTCTCAGGTCTTTAACGTCTTCTTATATTCGTCAGCAGCTTGGACGTGCGGATTCGTCAGCAACGCACAGATTTGTTAGCAACGCACAGTTCAGGTCTCCACTGATGAATCTGGGCATCGCTTTGCGCACGCGCAACAGCAGCCAATTCCCGACCTTCTTGCAACTTGGGCTTTGTTCTGGCCGTTCAGTCGATATAGGTCCTAAGGTTCCTGTAGATTTTGATAGCAGCACTTTTGGAATTTTACAACATGCTGGATGATTGTTTGATTTTGCTCGAGCCATTGTGCCGCATCCTGCAAAGCACCGAGCGGTTGCTTGACAGGGTAGTTGTCAACGTCTTCAACAATGTCTCTCTGAAGCATTGGAGGGATGACAGTTGTGCTATGTCAGGAGAAAATACTGTTCCTGGGATTCCTGTCCACCAAGGCCCTCTGGAGCATTTATGCGCTCCTCATTGAGGTCCGGATGCCCAAACTTGTGCGCACGATGATTGGGAGTTTCTTGGCAGGATATGGTGGTCCTCATTCCAAGCCTGATGGGCTATGCTTGCTCCTTTTTCCAGGCACCTTTGCATGCGGCCATTGTTGCCAATCAACAGTAGTCTGCGGACAGGTACTCCTGATTCTGTGGCAGGAAGCCTACCTTCACTACTGTGCAGTATTTTGGATTTCTCAGCATGTCCAAACCAGACAACACTTTTGCTGGCGCCTGCAAGGTGTCGCAATTGTTTGCCGCATGGATTCCAAGCTACATGCTGACATGTGCAGCTTTTGGATGCCTTTGTGCCTTGTTGCATGCGAGGTTTGATCTTTCATTTCTGGTTACCTTCGCCCAAAGAAAAAAAGCACGATTCCAAGTTGCGCTCCAAATGGTTGATTGAAACTTCTGGTACTGTACATCCACCAGGCCTGATGATTTTAGCCTGGACATGCCAGAGACATCTCCAGAAGAAGTCACAGTCATACTCCCAGATTGACACCCTTTGCAGCATGGCTTGCAGTTGTTCTGCCTGCATTTGCACCAAGCCTCAAGCTGCAGGATGGAGACGGTGCGTGGCTTTGATGGGAAAAATGGCCGACTTTTGAGCTCCTTGCCGACGAGGCAGATGGCTTTCATGGAGCTCCAGCTTCATTCAGCAGCCAACAGCATTTGTTTTATTCGCTTTTTCTGCCTGGCTCGAGTCCAGTTCATTCATTGTCAGCAAACTGTTCCACCAGCAAACACAACCTGCGTTCAGAATTTTTACTCCATCGACCCAGTTTTCAGCGGTCACGGAATGAGCAGACTGATCCTTTGGAGACCATGGTTTGGTCGCGCGCAGCTTCCCAAGTCACATTGAGGTCATCAAGACCCCAGAGAAGACCAAGGTTTTTGTGTCACTGTGATTTGAGGTGCCTTTGAACAATTTGGCACGTGGAACGCGGAGATGTGGCATCATTCGCAGCTCGGCATGTTCGATGGCTTGTCATCTTCCACCTTCGTTCACATGTTTGGACTCGAGGCGGGAAGCTACATCACGCTGGACTTGGGGCGGGACGACGTCACGTTCGTCAGAGAGCTCGATCAGAGAGGTTCGGTGTCAGAGACGTGTTCCGAACGCCCGATGTCCCAGGCACTGGCTTCTTTCCTGAAGAAAACGATCCCTTTTTCATTGACCCGGAGGCGGTGTTCAGCCTGGCCGTGGCACAGAAGTGAGATGTGGGTTGTGCAGTCCAGGGTCCACTTCTTTCGGAGCCGTTGAACGCGCGCTAGCCACAGATCGTTGAACTCCGATGGTCTTTGCAACGTTTTTTGCTCTCCGGTTGTGATTTGAGGCGATGGCGGGCGATGGACGATCCAACGCTGCGAAGCGGCATTCTCGAGCCTGAAGCTCTGAGCTTTGCCTTGAGCAGGTTCGGGTGTATGACTCTCTCAGGAGAAACAATGTTGGAATGGGAATGGTGGTAATGAACAGAGTCTGGCACCTGGGTACTCTTTGTACTGAGTATTGCCAGGCCCATTTGGTTCCGAGGCTGAGGGCTTTGATCTTCCAAGCATCAACGACCTCTACCAGCCAGACTCACAGCGACTTGTTTCACAGCGACTTGCAGCGTTGCCTGAAATTCAAAGTGAGGCGCCTTCGAAATTTGGAGGTGAATAGTTTGAAGCGGTTTGTGGGGCTTGCAGCTATGGAGCGGCCGCCTCAAGGACTTTCTGTTTGCGGTCAAAGATACATTTCACTTTCCATGTGGAGGCCAGGACCCTTTTCAGTCGGTGGAGACCTCAAATATTTGGCATTCCTGTTAAAGAGCGGGCTGTCGGAGCATGGGACAAGCGCTAAGCGAAGTTTGAGCTTCCTTGAGCTTCCTTGAGCTAGCGACGGCCTCCAACCTAAGAGCGTCCTTGCTCTGTTCGTAGCGATGCCCTTTGTTCCTAGTAGTGTCCTTGTTCCTAGTAGTATGGCCAGGAGCCCCTAGTAGCGTCCGTGTTCCTAATAGCGATGGCCTCCCCAAGAGCGATACTTCGGCAGGCCTGGATCCCAAAGAATTGCTGCTAGCTGCTGTGATGGTGCGCTTCTCAGAATCGCTGAAGGGTTCGAGGGAGGAAGAGCGCTAGCCGAGAGATGGTCATTCCAAGGCCAACAAGAAAGGTGCTTTGCCGGATTTCTCAAAAGCATTGCTGTGGAACTTCCAGGCCTGAATGGCGTTTCAGTCGTTCAAGCTCGCTGCAAAGCTGATTCAGGTCGAACGTAGTTTACTTGCAGTTGCAGAGCAGACGTGTCAGGAACTGGCACACTTGGTGGCAGACTACAGGAAGCCGATCGCTTGATTGCCACAATTGACTGATGTACGACGTTTGATCACCACATGCCAACTTCCATTCTTGGGATGTTAAGCAGCTTAAAAGCGGCTGCTCCCCTGCATCTTCTACAAGGTGCCTGGGATGTGGGTTGCTGCCTTGTTTCCAGCCAAGGCCTTTGATCAGCCACATCAGTGGCTATGCCCAAGATGGTGGTGGTGCAATGCTGGCTCATTGACAATGGTTGACGGTCGTCACTTTGATCCCAGCCAGGCCTTGGCCTGCTTAGCACCCTTTTCGGGTGCATGGGAAGATTCGACCCTTTGTGCCAAGCACTCAGTGCTGGGGTTTGAGCAGGTGCTGTGCAACCTGCTTAGCTTAGCCACAGTGTTTGCCAAACATGTGCATTGCAGTCCTAGGGTCCTAGAGTTCGTATGGGGTCGACGCAGACAACTTGCTGAAGTCTCAGCAGCTCCCCCCTAGTTGTGAGAATGGGGGGGAAGTTTGCGCAGTAGGTAAGGTATGGTTCTGAACTATTCCACTGAATGCAGAAAGTAACATGGATGGACCGGACCAGTACAGTTTGATCGACACGCCAACATAGTGTGGTTGGATTTGGAATTCTTTATCAAGCTTACAGGAGGAAATTATGGCACTCTCGTGGCAATGGATAGTTACAACTGCAGCACTGTTGGTCCCTCGCAACCTCCCAACCCCTCCAACGACGACAGTGCCGCGATCATGATACCACTGTTGCTGATCAGTGCTACAGCAACGGGTGGACTTCTCCTCCCAGACCGCCAAAAGCCACACTCAAGCACTGCAGAATGTTTCGTTTTAAGGATCAATGCAAGGGTGTTGGCTGGGCATCCAGTTTGGCAGCTCAAATGGCTGAGGTTAGAGCTTGTCACCAAGGGCTTGTTCCCATGGGAGGGATGACGTATGTGCATGGATCTGAGATCATTTCCAAGATTCTGGCCACGGATGCCACAGATTCCGAAGCGTGCAATCCCAGGCTTGGATCACTGCCGGCGGAGTTGAGCAGTTTGGGTGAATTCCTGGCCCTGACTGGATGGCCTGGCGGCTGAGCGATAGATGTTGACCAATGCACACGAATGTTCGGTGGAGGCGGATAAGGAACTACTCCATATAATTGAAAGGATTCAAAAGGGGAGCGAAGGAGCTAAGGGAGTTTCCGCACTTGCTTTATTGCACTTGGCCGTTTGGTGGCCTTTTTGCAGGGAGCTGGAGGGTGCAGACCTAGTGAGTTTGGACCTGGTGGAGCAGCCTGGGCATGCATGGAACAAGTTTGCAAGAAGCTCTTCTCTTGCAGCATAGGGCCCTAGCACGGCCTAGAATGCGGACTAGGCATTGGCTTTCACCCGAAGCTCTACCCTTTTTGGAGTTGACAGCCGAGAAGCACCTGGAGGCAGGGTTCTTTCTCGGGTGACACGGGAGCTATGGGTCTGGGTTCAGGCTGTCATTCTTTTGGTGCTGAATCATTGTCCCTGTGTCAACAGCTCAGGCTTTTTGAAAGCTAATCAATTCAACACAACCCTGAAGGTTTCTGAAGCAGATTCTCGCCTATTGCTGCGTGAGCATTCACTGCCCCTGCCGCTGGAATCTATCCCGCAAATACATTCGCCACACACCAATTTGACTTGTGAATCCACTCAACTCTGTGAAAATGCCGCTGAGGAGGGCGATCTCCATGTTAAAGAAGCGGGGAAGGAAGGTCGAGGGTTCCAACGGAGGACGGGTTCATTGTAAGAGTTTATCATCAGCACAGATCATCATGCAAAAGTGTGCTTCCAAGGTACTTCCCACTCATTCATCGATTCTTCAAGGAAGAATCTCCAAAGGCGATCCAGGATGCCATCGATAAGGCTCGACCTTCAGATGTTCTATATATTTTTTGAATACTTAAAGACTTCAAGTCACTTGAGCTGTGTAAACTTTTAGGAAATTGCCAATTTGGAGAACATCAAGTCGGAGAAGATGCAGACGGAGCTCCGTTTCCTGAAGGCTCACCCTTCGCACGCACGGGTATGTTGCCTGGGCTGTGCTCATTGAAGGACTGCAGGGACAGGATGAAGAAAGTCAGTACAAGAGCTGCTTGGATTACGCTGGACACTTACATACACTCATAGATCGTCAGCCAAACGGCTGTTTGACCAGAGAACTGCATTCCCATGTTTAGGCTGGAGCTCATCAGAAAGGTTCGAAGGGGCATCAGAGAGGCACGGGCGACTGCCTCCAAACAGTCCCGGCCTGAATGCAATGGTTTTTTGATTTGGATACTCTTGTGAGCGGTGGAAGGACCGTCGGCTTTATGTGTATATATATATATACACATACACTGTGCGAAGCTCAAGTCGGTCAAATGCCCTCGCGAACGAATTGCTCCTTTTCTGAGCGAGGGTTGAAGGTGCTTGATCACCAATATTGCGAACGGTTGGTGTGACCTGAATGGAATTCACACAGGTCCAAAATTCTTAAATTTTAACTGTGAGATGCACTCTCTCTGTTGGGTTCTAAGGCGTGCAAGCCTTGGGATCTTCTTTTCTTACCCGAAATCAGTTCAGAATCACACACTATTCTCCAACGGCAATTGCGGGAAATGAGCAGCAACATCTGATGAGGCTCGTGAGATTTAGTCAAGCTATTTGCCAACTGGGAGTCACCATTGACCCATCTCACCAGGGTCCCGGCTTCGGTTCTTTTAGGCACAGGCTCTCAAGGTCGCTGCGCTTCTCAGCTCCTCTCAACGTCAGCGTCGTTTGGGACAGTCGATCGTAAAGGCTCTTTGCATCGGAGATCAACACTCCAGGAATCAAGGATACGTAGTTGTCCAAGTTCCGAATGTCAGGAGGGTATCCCAGAAATTCAGCTAGCTGAAATCGTATTGCAAACATTTGATCGTCGCCATCCACTGCAGCTCTCGTTTCCGCTCAGCACACCTTTAGTACTGCCACCATCCGGACGGTTGGCGTGCGCCACGTCCACCCATGTGACAACAAGCTGTTCTG